TCACCGGATCCTCAGCACGAAGATCAGCATCCAGGACGAAGTAATTCCGTTCAGAAAAACCCTTTGGATACTTGGTGTGCAGTTCGACTGCTCTCTTACATTCAACACGTACATGAATGAGGTAAAGAGTGCCTGCAAACAGCGCCTAAACATCCTGAGGACACTAGCAGGCCGACATCCTAACGCCAACCGGACCTCACGCTTCAATGTTGCGAAGGCTATAGTAAACTCGCGGCTGACCTATGGCATCGAGGCTACGTACCTTGCCAAACCGCGCCTTTTTTTTTCATACAGGGGGGAATCTGCTCACAGACACCTGAGATGGAACTCAGGGTGTGGGGATGGGAGAATTTCACTCCCGACCCACTAAACCTTACCCTGTGCGCTTGGGCCTTGACCTCCCCGGAACCGCCCGAAGGCATTACTTCGTGGGAGGGGCCGCTGTAGCGCTATGGCGCCTCTCTAGCAATACTCTAACGATCTAGTCGGGCAGTAGGTAACTGCTGCTCGGCTCGCCACTGTTGTTGTAATACCGAAACTCGGTGGTACCACACATCCTAGAAACGATGTTATCCGGACTGGTATCCGCTCCGCATATCGCTAGCATAGCGCTCGATACTGGCTTGAAACGTGGACAGGCGAACACAACGTGTTCGGCGGTCTCCTCGACACCAGCACATGTGGGGCAGATGGGAGTACTTGCATGTCCGAACCTATGCAGGTAGCTCCTAAAGCAGCCATGGCCTGACAGGAACTGTGTCAGGTGGAAGCTTACTTCCCCATGGCGCCTGTTGGCCCAGCTTCATACGGAAGCTATCAAGCGGTAAGTCCACCTCCCCTTTGTGGAGTTTTCTCACTCAGATTGCCATCTCGCGGTCGACACAACTCGCGTGTTGTTGCGCACCCCTCGAACGGTCCTCGCGTCATAGCACACCACATCCTCCTTAATGATAAGGCTGATTGGCATCTTTCCTGCTATGACACAACGGCCTCTCTCGAGATAGTGCGGTATGCACTGGCCACCCTCAAGCACATTAGCCTGTGTGTGCCCTCTAATTTCTGCCTGTGGCAGTCAATGTCCAGTACCGCAGCCCATGCAGGGCCGCCGTATCTGAGGATAGATACTACGACCCCAGCGAGGAGCCTGCGCTTACTGGCATTCACTGCCGAGCTGTTTGACATCATACGGGATAATGCCCCCACAGCCATAGACGCTCTCTTGCAGGCGTACTCGACGTGGCAGCCGTAGCTGAGCTTATCGTCGAGCATCACCCCCAAGAGTTTTAGAGAGCGCACAGACCTAATTGTGCTTCCGCCGACTGTCAACGTCGCATGCTGTACTGACATGCGATTGTTGACTACGACCACTTCCGTCTTGTGATGGGCGAGCTCCAGTTTCCTGGTTCTCATCCATTCCTCCACAAGCCTGACGCAGTGGGCCGCTGTCAGCTCTACCTACTCGAGGGATTCCCCGCAGACTACCAGCGTGACATCGTCGGCAAAACCTACAATTTTCACGCCTACCGGGAATTTTATCCTCAACAGTTCATCGTACATGACGTTCCATAACACCGGGCCCAGGATGGAGCCTTGTGGCAATCCTGCGGTGACTCTAACGCATTTTTCGCCATCTTCTGTGTCGTACGTCAACACACGATTCTGGAAGTAGCTTTCCAGAATCTTTTACAGCCCTCCGGGAATTTGGAGCTGGTGTAACGAGCGGGCTATCGCCCCCCCCCCCCCCCCCAGCACGCGCTGTTGAACGCTTTCTTCACATTTAAGGCTAGCACCGCGGAATAGCGAATGCCCCTTCGTTTCCGATGGACCACCTCTCTGTTCCTCCCGAGATTCAGTCGTACGAGCTCGTTGCATCCTCCTTCTTGACGGGAGGCAAGACGCTCTGAGGATAGAAATCGACTCGCTCCACCAGTACACCGGTCTATGGCTATGCCTGGGATAGGCTCTCCTAGGCATGGTTGTATCGCACGCCCTTGTCAGTGCTGCTACCAGTTCTTCCCCCGTCAGATCCGGGGTTATTCGCTCCCGCCTCAGTGCTTCGCCAAAGACCTCTTCCTCGAAGAACGCTACCCCACTCCACCGCCCATGCGTTAAAGTCGCCCACAATGACCACCGGTCTTAGGTCGACAAGTACCGCAGTGACTCTGTCCACCATCTGCGAGAATTGCTCGAACCGTGCCTGGTGAAAAGGCTTACACCAGTCTACCAGCAAGCACTTCGGATTTCTTCCGGACTCCTTCCTGGTACCCCCGGGATCGCCACCTGCATTGAGGGAGGAGTACTCCCCTTCGACCGCCTGATTACCGGGACTATATGCAAACACGCCATCGGGCTGAATGAGATAACGTCAGGTACAGACGAGGAAGGTTCCCTCCTAAAGGAGGCCAACAAGTTCCTCAGGGAAATCTCCAACCGAGCTCTCCCCCCCCGTGTGCAAGACACATTGGGTTGGAGCCAGAGGCTGGAACAAACCGCCAATCAAGACCGACCACACCATCAAACGACACTTCAAGGCTGGTTCCAATCCCTCTGTGGTAAATCAGACGGTATTGGACTTGCAGAGAAGGAAGTACGCTGGATACGCCATCCGTTACTCGGACGGTTCCGTAGCCCAGAAAAGGGTGGGCATCGGCATCTCCAGTGACCTCCTAAAGGAGTGTCACAGGCTCCCGGATGAGTGCTCTATTTTTTCCGCCGAGGCGGCCGCAGCTTTTATCGTAGTTACTACCCCGGATACACGGCCAATCGCACTTTTCACAGACTCTGCTAGTGTAGTCACTGCACTTGAATCCGCAACCAGCAGGCACCCCTGCATACAGGCCATCCAAGAGTACGCGCCACCCAACACGGTATTCATTTGGTTGCCTGGACACTTCGGTGTAAAAGGGAATGAGGAAGCTGATCACCTCGCCGGATCAGGCCGTCGTATGACCTAATATACCCGGAAGGTCCCCGGTCAGGATCTGAAGAAGTGGGTCACCAAGACCGTAGACCAATCCTGGAGCCGGAAGTATACTGTTTATACGGAAGATAAAAGGGGACACCAGCAGATGGGAGGATCCACCCGGTGACTCCGGTCTGGCCACACAAACGTCTCCCACAACTATAAGAGGGACGGACCCTTCCGGAGGATATGCGACCACTGCCACATCCCACAGACCGTCGAGCACTTCATCTGCATATGCCCGAAATACGATGGAACCAGGAGAAGCTACGACATTTCCGGCAACATCCGGGATGTCCTCTCCGATGATCCCCGTTCGGACTGCTACGCTGTTCATCTTCCTGAAGGAAACCGGACTCTTCAATATGATTTAAATTACTCGACCCACGCAACCCTCAATGACTAGCTCCAACTACCGGCATACACCACGATACGTTTCAACCCTGAACCCTGATGACAACTTACCGCAATCCAATTGGAAATCCAACTGAATTAACGCAGATGTACCACGCCAGTTCTTATTTTAATATGTCCTTTATGTTTATACTGATTTGTGATTTATGTTAATGGAGTTAATGGTTATACAAACACTGTAGCAGCTCTTACAAACCTTTTGGAACTCCCTTCTGGAGTTCCCAAGGCGAACCAGCCAATGGCTGAAAGCCTTGTAAAAAAAAAAAAAAAAAAAAAAAAAAAAAAAACGGTTCGTATTCTTCTAGACGCGGCAGGATTGATACACATTACCGGGTTTATCGATCTTTGTCGTGGTTGGAGAATTCTGAGACTTCCACGGATACGGTGAGTTAGTTTGAGCTTGGGTGAGCTTTGACATGACGATAACGTGCTTGATGACGGTGGCCCAAAATACTTTCTCACGATGAGCAACTGTACCCAAACAGTGACTGTGTGGCTTCATCACTGCTTCTCTGTCTAGAGCGCTCTTGCAGGCAGCTTTGGCAGCAAGCTGCTTGTGGAGCCTTTTGAACACGTCTGAAGTTCGAAAGGAAATGCGGCAACGGCTTGATTCGTTTGGAACCAACTATGTGATGTCTTTGTTAGGAAATACACCTTATGATGTAAGCAAATGTATGGGAAATTTTGATGCTACAAAATTGCTGGAGTAAGCTCCCTTCGAATGACATATTTCACACTAATGCTTTGGAGATATATGCGTTCAAAACCTGACCCTTTCGTTACATGCTCATTTTTCGTACTCGCAAAGTGTACCCCCATATAGAAAACAAAGACGTAGTCCTACGTCAAAAGCAACTAGTGAATGTCGTCTGCGGTGGTGATCCATCACCGATCTGGTCATTCCCGACAATCACGACACTCATCTGTGTTCGTTTTGAAGCAGTTGCTGCTCTGCTTGCTTATGTGAGTGTGTTGGAGGGTGAGCCCAACAGCTTGCGTTCAATTTTACCAGCTTTGTTTGTAACTCACACAGTCGCGCCTGCCGAGACAAACTTGGAATGCATAGGCATTGTTTTCATTTTCTTCTGTCGTTTCGCTTCTTCTCGTCGTCGTACTGCAGAAGTTTTCACTGTTTCCGTTGTGCTACATCAAAATTCGGTCAAATCAATATCAACATCAATTCGGACAATTCAACATTCGAACAAAACCAAATGTTGACGATAATTATAAATTTGGGTCAATGCAAAATTCAAAATTCCAAATTCCTCATATAAGCTCCTATTTTAAAATCGTACAAAAATTGTTAGATGCCCCTGGGTTACTTAAAAACACCTTCAAAACGCAATCAATAAATATCATGAAAAGAGATAAGATCTCAACTGTCAGTATGCAGAAGACCACCAGCGAAAGCTGTCCATACAAACAAATATTAAATAACGGTGGATTATCAAACACACCAATTGTTCTCAACTTCTCCTGATAAACAAGAATAGACACTCTTCTCGAGAGCAGATATCTCTATCAGCGAATTGCAAATATTGTTGTCCCACTGAATGACACACTTCAAGATAACCATTTTTCATTAGTCACATTTTGATTGACAATCTTTTTTTTTTGTCCACAGTCATGCCCGGTGCCAAAGGACGATATGCTCAACATCCATCTGGTTCCGCACAGCCACGATGACGTCGGTTGGCTCAAGACCGTAGACCAGTACTACTACGGTAGCAAGAGCAACCATCAGTACGCTGGAGTGCAGTACATCCTGGATTCGGTGGTGGAAGCCCTGCTGAAGAACCCCGATCGGAAGTTCATCTACGTCGAGTCGGCATTCTTCTTCAAGTGGTGGGACGAGCAGACGCCGGAACTACAGAAGGCGGTTCACAAACTGGTACGGGAAGGTCGGTTGGAGTTTGCCGGAGGAGCTTGGAGCATGAACGATGAGGCTGCATCGCACTATCAAAGCTTGATCGATCAGTTCACTTGGGGCCTGAGGCTGTTGAACGATACCTTCGGAGAATGCGGACGGCCTCGGGCCGGATGGCAGATTGATCCGTTTGGGCATTCGAGAGAGCAAGCCTCGCTGTTCGCTCAGATGGGTTTCGATGGAATGTTCTTCGCTCGGTTGGACTGGCGTGACAACACCAAGAGGCTGCAGGACAAGACTGCAGAGATGCTTTGGAAGTCGAGTGCAAATTTGGAGGATAGTGATATGTTTACGTCGGTGCTGTACAATCACTACAGTGCACCGCCAGGATTCTGCTTTGATATACTGTGTAGGGATGATCCGTTCGTGGATGGACAGTATAGTGTCGAGAACAATGTGAAGCAGAAGGTTGATGATTTCTTGGCATTTGTTACGAACATGTCTGCACGTTACCGATCGAACAACTTGATCATCACCATGGGAGATGACTTCAACTACATGGATGCCAACATGAATTTCGTAAATATGGATAAGCTTATTAAGTGAGTGTTTTTTTTTTAATATTGAAATCGCGTTGATCATAAATTTAACTGTCTTCCAGGTACACCAACGCCCGCCAATCTGCTGGATCCAAAGTCAACGTATTTTACTCAACCCCGACTTGCTATCTAAAAGCCGTTCACGACACTCAACTAACCTGGCCGACCAAGACCGATGACTTCTTCCCATATGCCTCGGATCCACATGCCTACTGGACTGGATACTTCACGTCCCGGCCGACCTCGAAACGCATGGAACGCCACGGCAATCATTTTCTTCAGGTCTGCAAACAGCTGACCGCTCTGAGTCCATCTAAGGGTGGTGAAGAACACCTGACCGTCCTGCGGGAAGCGATTGGTGTGATGCAACATCACGATGCCATTACCGGAACGGAGAAACAGCACGTTACCGATGACTACTCGCGAATGCTCCACGTTGCGATCGAAGCTTGTGGGGCAAACACCAATGCCGCCTTGCAGAGTATGACTAAGAATCCCGCGACATTCGAATCGTGCCATCTGCTGAACATCACTCAGTGTGAAATTTCCGAGACCAAGGAGAACTTTGTGGTCACATTGTACAATCCACTAGCCCATGCCAACTACCAATACGTACGTCTACCGGTTACAGGAAACAGCTACTTAGTCCGAGATCATTCAGGACAAGAACTATCTTCGCAAATGGTTTCCATTCCCGAACCGGTTGCTAACCTTTTCTACCGAGTTGGCCTATCCACTCAAGAGCTGGTGTTCCTAGCAAATGATATCCCTCCCATGGGTTATCGATCGTACTACGTATCGGAAACGTATGACGATAGTCATACTCAGAATGATGAACATCCATCCAAGAAGAAAACCGTGTCCATTGCAAACAATCGCTTGACATTGAACTTTGACGAAAATGGTTTCCTGAGCACTATCAACTTTGGAGAGGAAAGTCATCGATTGCAGCAGGATTTCCTGTATTACGAAGGAGCCTACGGTAATAACGAAATCTTCGAGAATCGTTCTTCTGGGGCTTACATATTCCGACCGAATAGTACCGAAAAGCACGCAACTTCTTTGGTTCGATTGACCGTCATCAAGGGTGACCAAGTCCAGGAGGTTCACCAGCAGTTCAACGAATGGGTCAGTCAGGTGATTCGTCTTCATGACAATGAAATGCACGTGGAGTTTGAGTGGATGGTGGGACCGATTCCGATCGATGACGGTAAGGGTAAGGAGATCATTTCCAGGTTCTACACGGATATCCAGTCGGATGGAGTGTTCTGGACGGATTCGAATGGCCGGGAGATGATAAAGCGAGTGAGGGATCAGCGGGAAACTTGGGATTTGGAATTGGTGGAACCGGTTGCTGGGAATTATTACCCGGTGACTACGAAGATTGCCTTGGAAGACGATAACCTGCGGATGGCTGTGTTGAACGACCGAGCTCAGGGCGGAACCAGCATGCAGGATGGAGTTGTCGAGCTTATGGTTCACCGAAGACTGTTGCGAGACGACGCATTTGGGGTTGGTGAAGCTTTGAATGAGACTTCTTACGGAACTGGGTTGATTGCTAGGGGAAAACATTTCTTGGTGTTTGGAACGAAGGGTCCTCAGATGATGCCCGTTCAAGTGAGGGAACGCGTCATGCAGAATCACGTCATGATGCCGGCATGGATGTTCCTGAGCGATGCCACCGATTTGTCATTCGATGAGTGGCAGTCCAACTACATCAATATGGTAAGAATAGTTTGACTGTTTAAGCTAAATAAATCAACCCAAACTTTCTGTTTCACAGTTCTCGGCGATGGCGGCATCACTTCCGGTAAACGTTAACCTCTTAACATTCGAACCTTGGAAGCAACCCTCGACCTACCTGGTGCGATTTGAACACCTTTTCGAGAAGAATGAAGATTCACTGTACTCATCACCCATCACCTTCAACCTCGAAGAGGTCTTCTCCAAATTTAGCATCTCCAGCATTCAGGAAACTACTCTGGCGGCAAACCAGTGGAAGGAGGACATGTCGCGGCTTAAGTTCTACGCAGATCCGGTCCCAGTGCCCGAGCAAACCTCCAATCAGATCATGGCCAAATCCGGCGACGTCATGGAAATCATATTGAACCCAATGGAAATTCGCACTTTTGTCATTCAAATGGATTTTAAGTAGAGAATAGAACTTTTTCAAAATACACAAATCCATTGCTTTATTAAGAGTGGTTTTAAACCGTGCGACTACTCTACCATCAACTTGAGAAATATAACAGCTCCTACATACATAGTCTAAGGCCTTGAAGTTTCTACACTCTACTGATCACTATTTCACTAGAAAATTTGGATAAAGCTCATCATTTACTGCGTGTTGCGTCATCGTCGCGCTATTATTGCTCATCGATTTTGTTTTGCTTGGTGCGTTTAGAAATCTCCATCCCATCCGGACAGTTCATCCGGCGGGATGTGCGTGTCCTCAGGGAATATGTCAAAGTTAGACAAATCAAGCGGTCCCCTCAGTTTCGGTAGCAAGGGAGATTTGAGCGTTTGGTTTGCTAGACCCTCCCAGTCGAAGCCTTGGAACCATCTGGAAAAGGAAAATGGACGATTGATCAGATCTTCCAATCGAGCATGACCTTGCCGCGGAGGAGCTTACTTGTGTTTCTTAATATCCTGAATGCCACCCCGTTGGTAGCCCAATCGTTCGGAGGGAACATCCCGGCAGAGTCGTTTGATCAGGCTGACCGCCCCACGGGACATGTGTTTCGGGAAGTTGACCATGTCGATGCCCTTCAAAATGATGTTGTACGTTTTCATCGGGTCGGCTGCGGTGAATGGAGGTCTGTAAAAACACAATGTGAACAATCTATTAGGGCTTGCATTGCGATGGGCTCCGGGATAATCGTTATTTAGTTCTCAAGATATTTCTGGGAAATCTGGGGTTTGCAGACTCAAAACGCAGTCTCAAAACTCAAAAGATCTGGCAACGATCCACAGAAAAGTTTAACGGACCTTGGAATAAGGATCTCAATTGCCTAGTTAGTAAAGGCACAGGAAAACCAAGCCAGAGGCAGTGAATTCGATTCCCAATTCAGTCCAGATCCTTCTCATTGTTCTTCATCAGCAGTTCGTTCGTTCGATCGATGCCTCGTCGACTTTGGAAAGTAATCGTTTCGTGATGAGTGTGTGATGACTGACCACGTTTTTCGTCCACTGCTGCAATGGAAGCGTTCTGCCCCCCGTTGGTGATACTGCCATACAATGAAATCACTGGAAGCGGCTCCCATTATGATGGAGGAGGCTTATTGGATAGCGGAAGATAAAATGTTTATTGTGTTGTACTTTTGGACTATATAATATAGTGAACAATAATCCTCGGCTCTGTAAAGTTAATTCGGTTGAGCCTCGCCAAATAAATTAATAAACAACAAAACCTTCAAGACAAGTTCAGAAGATCATTTAGAAAAAATTTGCTACTAGGGTATGCTATGTAAACCTCAGGAGTAATTTCAAGGCTTGTCTTAAAATAATCCAAAGCCCCCTTAAAAAATGCCAAGGAGATCTAGGATCATGTGTAATTGGACAATCTAATGGTACTTAATGGTACATCCGAAGTGGTCAAATTAGTAGCAGTTAACAGGACTCCAAAATACTACAAGGGACAGCCCTATAGGTGACCTAGGACTACGTGTTCTTATATAATTAATCTTATTTGTTAACTGCAGCATGAGCTTGTGTTTTGTAAAGGAATAGGATTTTGAGCGGGGTTCTCTCTGTTTATACGCTTTAGTTTGACGCGCTTGACATAGATGGCCCACAGCGACTAAAGAAGAGCTACTGATTTCGATCAATAGCGGTGCGGTTTCTCCATCCTTCTATGGATGCTCATGTGGGCTGCAGCTCGCTGCTTGTAGGCAGCCTTTCGTTGTGTACTGGAGAGCAATGTTTAACGCCACGCGCCGAAAGCACTGCTGCTGCTGCTGCTGATGCCCACGACCAGACACCAGCACACACGGTGATTGGAACTGAATCCGATCAGCGGTTGTGGGCAGCCCAGCTAGATGCTTGCGGGGAGCCATTCGTAGTGTACTGGAGAATACCACCACTGATTGAATAAACACCGTTTGGTGAGACCGGATGAAATTCAACTTTGAAATCTGTGTAAAGGAAATCGCTGTTCGCAGGCAATCGGTGATAATTTTAATTATCATGGCAACAGTTGCACATTCGTGTAATTTTCAATAGTGACATTTTGAAAACGGATGAAGTATTAAACTTAACCGATGCGTTGAAGTATTTCCGATCGATTGGTGATAAAATTATTGAAATTGGTCCAGGGGCAGCTGAGTTATTAACGTTCAAAATATTTCATAATGTTGTTACATGTTTCATTTTCAGTTTTCACAAAGTGTTCCCCCATATAGAAATTACAGACGTAGTCCTACGTCAAAACAAATTCACCCTGATACGACCGATGTTATGTCCGAAGGACTTCTGGAGATAATTTCGTATGAAAACCCTACCTGATCTTGCTCCTATAAGATCTTCTGACTGGCTTACGAATCCTTTAAACATTAATCTGTTATATTGATCCAGAGCTATAATTTCATCGGAATTCCGACTGGGATTTATCGGAATCCCAACTGGGATTCACCAGAATCTCGACTGGGATTCACCAAAATATCACCGAAATACAACAGAATCCAGGCTAAATTATAAATGCTTCCCTCTAGGATTAAAATCCTGTTTAAGAGTAATCTGAATACAACCTGAAATTAACCTTAATCCAACCCGGCCAACTTAGGATTCATAAGATTAATAAATCTAGCCTATCTCAAATAACCAAAAGTTCTGATAAAAGGCTATTTGTGGCTTACGCAGTTTGGTTGAAGGTGGTCTATAGAATTCTAAGCAGCCTTATTTTTAAGTCGTTATTAGAACTTGAAAGTTCCGGTACCATAATTGAAGGGCAGCTTCTGGTGGAACTTGAACGGAACTTTTAGAAGATAATTTAAAAAAAAGGTTTATGTCCTTTACATCAATTCTATATTTCTCGATTACTTTTTCGAAGGGACGTATCAGCTTTTGCAAACAATGCCTACTAGATCCGTCAATCGACGATCAAATGCTTACCTTACCTTACCAATCAGGCTAAGGCCTTGTTGTCCTCTGCTGTCCGAAGAAGTCGTCTCCACTCTACTCGATCCATGGCCACAGTTCGCCAGCCTCGTAGTCTGCGAAGGGTCCGCAGGTCGCCTTCTACTTGGTCGATCCACCTTGCCCGCTGCGCGCCTCTTCTTCTTGTTCCTGTTGGGTCGCTTTCTAGAACCATTTTCACTGGGTCGTCGTGCGGCATTCTTACGACGTGCCCAGCCCACCGTAGTCGCCCAATTTTTGCAATGTGGACGATGGATGGTTCTCCCAGCAGCTGGTGCAATTCGTGGTTCATTCGCCTCCTCCACGTTCCGTCATCCATCTGCACTCCACCGTAGATGGTACGCAACACCTTCCGTTCGAAAACACCAAGGGCGCGTTGGTCCTCCACGAGCATAGTCCAGGTCTCGTGGCCGTAAAGGACCACCGGTCTAATCAGCGTCTTGTAGACAGTCAACTTCGTGCGGCGGCGAATTTTATTCGACCGGAGCGTCCTCCGGAGTCCAAAGTAGGCACGATTCCCTGCCATAATGCGTCTTTGAATTTCTCTGCTGGTATCATTTTCGGCGGTCACCAGTGAGCCCAAATACACGAACTCATCGACCACCTCGATTTCGTCACCGTCAATCTGAACTCGGGGTGGGAGGCTAACATTGTCTTCCCTAGAACCTCTTGCTTTCATATATTTTGTCTTTGATGCGTTGATGGCAAGTCCAATCCGTCTAGCTTCAGCCTTCAGTCTGATGTACGTTTCCGCCATCATCTCAAAGTTCCGTGCCATAATGTCAATGTCATCGGCGAAACCAAGGAGCTGGATGGACTTCCTGAATATCGTGCCACTCGTGTCTATCCCAGCTCTTCTGATCACACCTTCTAACGCGATGTTGAACAGCAGACACGAAAGTCCATCACCCTGCCGTAACCCCCTTCGAGATTCAAAGGGACTCGAGAGTGTCCCCGATACTCGAACAACGCACGTCACTCGATCCATCGTCGCCTTGACCAAACGCGTCAGTTTATCCGGAAATCCGTACTCGTGCATAATCTGCCATAGCTGATCTCGATCGATTGTGTCGTATGCGGATTTGAAATCGATGAACAAATGATGTGTGGGCACGTTGTATTCGCGGCATTTCTGCAGAACCTGCCGAATCGCGAAAATTTGGTCCGTGGTAGCGCGGGCACCCATGAATCCCGCCTGGTATTGCCCCACGAACTCTCTTGCATATGGTGACAGACGGCGGCATAGAATTTGGGAGAGTACCTTGTAGGCGGCGCTCAGCAGTGTGATCGCGCGGTAGTTGCAGCAATCCAACTTGTCGCCCTTTTTGTAGATTGGGCATACGACACCTTCCATCCACTCCTCCGGTAATATCTCCTCCTCCCAAATCTTGGCAATTACCCAGTGCAGCGCTCTAGCCAGTGCTTCACCACCGTATTTCAATAGCTCACTTGGTAGTTGATCTACACCAGTTGCTTTGTTGTTCTTCAGCCGACCGATCTCCTCCTCAACTTCTTGAAGATCAGGGGCCGGTAGCCTGTCGTCTTCTGCGCGTGCTCCAAGGTCTGTTGCCGTGCCACCTTCGTTTTCTGCTGCTTCACCGTTGAGGTGCTCGTCATAGTACTGCTTCCACCTCTCAATCACCTCACACTCGTTCGTGAGAAGGTTACCGTCCAAGTCCTTGCACATATCGGCTTGCGGCACGTAGCCTTTGCGCGAACTATTTAGCTTCTCGTAGAACTTCCGTGTGTCGTTTACGCGGTACAGATTTTCCATCGCCTCGCGATCTCGATCTTCCTGCTGACGCTTCTTCCTTCGGAAAACCGAGTTTTGTCTGTTCCGCTCCACATTCAATCTCGTGCGGTGTTGCAGCATTCTCGCCCGTGCTGCATTCTTCTCCTCTACTAACAGTTTGCATTCGCCGTCAAACCAGTCATTTCTTCGGTCCGGGATTGCAGTACCTAGTGCCGCTACAGCAGTACTACCTATGGCTGAACGGATGTCCCTCCAGCCATCTTCAAGAGAAGCTGCGCCAAGCTGCTCTTCCGTGGGTAGTGCAACTTCCAGCTGCTGCGCGTAGTCCTGGGCAACTCCGGTGTCCCGTAGTTGCTCAATGTTGGGTCGTGGCGTTCGACTTCGACGTGTTTTATGCACCGTCGAGAGTTTTGAGCGCATGCATACTGCAACTAGGTAGTGGTCCGAATCTATGTTCGCACTGCGGTACGTGCGGACGTTGATAATGTCGGAGAAGAATTTCCCGTCGATTAGAACGTGATCGATTTGGTTTTCTGTGTGTTGGTCAGGTGATCTCCAGGTGGCTTTGTGGATATCCTTGCGGGGGAAAAAGGTATTTCGAACTACCATACCCCGAGAGACTGCAAAGTTCACGCATCGTTGGCCGTTTTCGTTCGATACGGCATGCAGACTTATTGGCCCGATTGCCGGTCTATACATTGCCTCCCGTCCTACCTGAGCGTTCATGTCGCCGATGACGATTTTGACGTCCCGTTGCGAACAGCCGTCGTACACCTGCTCCAGCTGCGCATAGAACGCTTCTTTCTCGTCGTCGGGTCTCCCTTCGTGTGGGCATAGCACGTTGATGATGCTGTAGTTGAAGAAACGGCCCTTAATCCTCAACTTGCACATCCTCGCGTTGATCGGCTGCCAACCAATCACGCGTTGGCGCATCTTACCCAGCACTACAAAGCCGGTTCCCAGCTCGTTGGTGGTGCCACAGCTCTGGTAGAAAGTAGCCGCTCGATGCCCGCTTTTCCATACCTTTTGTCCCGTCCAGCAAAGTTCCTGCAGTGCTACGACTTCGAAGTTGCGTGGTTGAAGTTCGTCATAGATTAACCTATCGCAACCCGGGAAGCCGAGCGATTTGCAGTTCCATGTTCCGAGTTTCCAATCGTAGTCCTTATTTCGTCGCGTAGGTCTGTGCCGATTGTTCCGATCCGTATTTCTTTCTTCGGTATTTGCAACTTTGTTTTTTTCCAGGGCGGCTTGTTGGGCCTGCCCCAACCCCCTGTCTCGCCGGGGGACCATCGCGTCGCACCTCTTCACTTTGCTATTGCCGGACTGGCAACATTGCCCAGGCTACGCCAACCAGCTGTGTCCATGTTTCAGCTGGTAGTCTTTTGTTATCATATGACTCGAGGAGGCGTGAAGTAGGAACTTGTGAGGACCAGGGCTAGGTATTCCGCTCCTTCCAGGTTGTCAACTCACCATTTTGTAGCCCAAATGCATTGTTTACAAATAAGCTGATACGTCCCTTTGAAAAAGTAATCGAGATTTAGTGCACCCTTTTATGAAAGTACATTTCTAAAGTCAGGTCATTATGAAAGTTATTTCTAAAGTCAGGTATTATTGTGTATTGATTTATCAACATTAGTAGTAGCATTGAATCTGTTCGAAGAATTGAACCCAGTTCTTGGTATTTGCCCACGTGGTATTCCAACACGTTAGTAGATAATATGTCGAATACACGGGTTCGAATCCAGGAAATTGCTCTTTATTTTTTATGTTTAGATAGAATGTTGATGCGCTGCATAAATATAAGAATTATGATTTATTTGAGCCACTGATCATTTGATATTTACATACATTTAATTTTGTTACAAATAAAGACTTGTGTGGATTGCTTCATGTGGGCTATGACGGACTTATTTAGAAACTTTGAAGTTGGCAAGAAGTTGCGCAGGGAACTTTTAAAATACTTGAAAGTTGCTAAGAAGTTCCGCTGGGAACTTGTTCGGAACTTTGTTGTGGCCATGTTTTCAGCCTTGCCTGAAGTTCCTAAGAAGTGCTTAGGGATGCTTTTTGGAACTTGTTTTGAACTTCAAGTTGCTAGGAGTACGCATCGGAACTTCTTAGAGCCTGAAGTTCCTCGTGTGCTTTCTATAGCTTCTAAAGTAACCTGAATTTTGTGTTGATACTTTATATGCACTTTATGGAACTTGAAAGTGGGTTTTATCGTTGAATGCGAAACTTTTGGTTGCTTGGGAAGAAAGTTCTGCCGGAACTTTCTTTGAACTTTATGGAACTTGAAAGTTCTGTCAGAACTTCATTCAAACTTTATGGAACTTGAAGGTTCTTTCGGAACTTTATTTGAACTTTATGGATCTAAGAAGTGAGTTTTATCGTTGAATGCAGAACTCGTCTGGGATTTGACAGAATCCTGGACTTTAAAACGAAAACCACAGAATCCTGCGTTTGAGTGTACAGAATCGTTGCTGCTATTTAACTGCATTTTGCTTGCAATTTAACAAAACCCTAGCAAAGATTCACCTCAATTCAGCATGGGATTCACCCAGGGTGGCCAGATTAAGATGGCTTTCCCGATACTTGAAACTTGTGTGACCCTGGGGGGGGGGGGGGAGAGACTCTGCTCCAGAACAATACACTGTCCTTCAGTTCTTCTGCTTTAAACGTATCTAAATCAATATTTCTAATTCTAATGCTAATTCTGACTACAAGGAAAACAAAACATTTTTTCAATATTACTAAAAATCTATGATTCTCGGTAGGAAAACTGAAAAATCGTTAGTTTTTAACGTTTCGTCTGTGAATCGGTAGGCATCCTGAAAATCGGTAGGACTACCCATAAATCGTTAGGTCGGGCCACCCTGGATTCACCTGAATCTAACCTGGGACTGGGATTTTCATAAGAGTTCTGCCTAAGATTCATCAGAATACCACCTTGAATTCATCATAATTTGTCTGACTGGGATTAATTTGAGTACCGCTTGGGATTCAATAGAAACCGACTTAAGAATCTCATCTGGAATTCGAAAGTATTCCGTCAGGGAGTCAAACATACTCTGGGAATCAACAGAATCCTGTCCGCGATTCGTAAATTTCCCGTCTGGGATTTATCTGAATACAGGTTGACTGAAGTTTACTAGAATTCTGCCTGTATCTGAACTTTTCAGATACCTCTTGGGACTTATCAGAATTTCACTTGTATCCCGCTTGAATCCCTCTGAATCCCACAACAGAATCTCTCCTGGGAGGACTTAAAAGAAATTCTCAGGGGTGTTCGTAAGCATTTCACCAGGGACTCATCATAATCTTTCCTCGGGTTCAATAGAATCCCGCTTGAGCTTCAATAAAAGGTTGCTTAAGATTCATCAAAAGCCCGCCTCAGACTCGTTAAAATCACACTTCGGATTCAACAAACACCTAGCATTCAGCAGAATTCCGGCTGCAATTCAGTAAACACACATCTGTGACACGCTTCAAAATCCCGCCTTTGATTAAAAACTACAAGGGACAGCCTTATGGGGTTGTACGCAATGGTGACGTAGGACTACGTGATCTTATATAATGGATCTTATTTGTTAACAGCATCAGGAGCTTGTGTTTTGTGTAGGAATAGGAATTTGAGCGGGGTTCTCTCTGTTTATACTCTTTAGTATGACGCGCTTGACATAGATGGCCCAGTTCCAATCACCGTGTGTGGTGGTGTCCGGTCATCGGCATCAGCAGCAGTACTTTCGGCGCGTGGCGTTGAACATTGTTCTCCAGTACACAATGATAGGCTGCCTGCAAACAGCGTGCTGCAGCCCACATGAGCGTCCATAGAAAGAGGAAGAAGCTGCACCGCTATTGATCGGAATCAGTAGCTCTTCGTGAGTCGATCAATAGTGGTGCAGCTTCTTCCTCTTTCTATGGACGCTCATGTGGGCTGCAGCACGCTGTTTGCAGGCAGCCTATCATTGTGTACTGGAGAACAATGTTAAACGCCACGCGCCGAAAGTACTGCTGCTGATGCCGACGACCGGACACCACCACACACGGTGATTGGAACTGAATCCGATCAGCGGTTGAGGCCAGCCTTGGTAGCTAGCTGTTTGCGGGGAGCCTTTCGTTATGTACTGGAGAACACCACCACTTACCACGCAGTGATTGAATAAATACCGTTTGGTGATACCGGATAGAATTCAACTTTGAAATATGTGTTAGAGAAATCACTTTTCGCAGGCAATCGGTGATAATTTTATTTACCAAAGTAACAGTTGCACATTCGTGCAATTTTCAATAGTGACAAAGTCTTAATTTTAACAGATTATTAAGAATTAAAATCCATCATCTCTGGAACAAAATCAGACCAGTTTCATGTTGTTAGATTTAAACATATCTAGATAGAGCTAGAATTACGCGTAACAGCTTTTGTAAACAATGACTTCTCTCGATGATTTTTAGGAATTCAAGGCACGCTCACGCAAACCAACATTCCTGTCAGGTAGGGGAAGTCTCACTCTACCTGATGGTGATGTTGATTTGCGTGGGCGAGCCTTGACTTTCAAGACATCATCGAAAGAAGTTATTGTTAACAAAAGCTGTTACGCTCTAATTCCAGCTCTATCTTGATATGGGAACTGACATCCGATTGACAAATGTCAAAAAATACTCTTTCACAGATTTATGAAAAAGACCGTTTTATCGTGATGGTTGAGGAATGCTGAGCTATTAGGTTGTTAAACACAGATTGGGCTGGTAAGCTGTATGTTGTTTGCAGTGTTGGGAAAATATCAAAAAATCAAATCTCCCCAATGCCCATGATCACGCTTGATTTTCGTAGACAAACATCAACAAGCATACAGCTGCGGTTGATTTTGCAAGCTGTGATATCGCAGCTCGGAATATCAAGCTAACGAAACTCACCAGCTGCAAATCTCAACAAACTGTGGTGAGATTGAGTTTAATGATTTTTGCTTAAAACCCGAACGCAACCGAAACTTCCATAACGGCTGATAGCAGTCACTTCGTGTCTGCCATTGGTGAACAGTTAAAAGAGATAGCATACTCTCTTTCTAAGAAAACGATGTGCAACGGAATGGTTTTTGTGTCTAGTCAACTCTCCGCTTGATTTTTGCACGTTGTGAATAGTCGAATATCGAAGGAGCTTGTAAAATCAATATCAAGCATGACATTTTGTTCCATGAACGTATGAGAGCGGAAAAATATAAGTTGATTCATGATTTTGCCAACACTGGTTGTTTGGAACGACGGTGAAGCGCTTGGCATCGATGGCCCACAGCGACTCACCAAGAGCTACTGATTGCGATCAATAGCTGTGAGGCTTCTTTATCTTTCTCAATATGCTCATGTGGGCTGCAGCTCACTGTTTGCAGGCAGCCTTTCATTGTATACCGGAAAACACCACCACTCACCACGCGGTGATTGAATAAATACCGTTTGGTGAGACCGGATGGAATTCGACTTTGAAATCTGTGTTAGGGAAATCGCAATTTTGAAAAAATGATAAAGTTTTAAATTTAACAAATGCATAGAAATATATCTGATGGATTGGCGATAAAAATAATGAAATTGGTCCAGTGGCAGCTGAGTTATTAACGTTCAAAATCTTTCATAATTTTGTTACATGTTCCATTTTCGGTTTTCACAAAGTGTACCCCCATATAGAAATCACAAACGTAGTCCTACGTAAAAAAAACTCCACTAACTTAAAAGAATCCCGCTAGGTGATTCTGCCGAATTCCACATGGGGCTCAACCAAATTTTCCTTGGGAATTCAAAAAAATCTTTACTGTGATGCATCAAAATCTAACCTGAGCATAATTCCGCCTGGGATTAACACCAACGCAGCAAAAGAGGTTAGGTTCGCTAAATTGAAATTATTTGAAACAAACTAGAATCACTTCACTTACATCCCCGTCAGCAGCTCGTGGATCAACACTCCCAACGCCCAGTAGTCCACCGAGCGGTCGTGACCTCTGTTCAGCACTATCTCCGGTGCCACGTATTCCGGCGTTCCGCAGAAGGTCCACGTCTTGTTGCTGTAGCCGATGAATTTGGCAAACCCAAAGTCAACCTAAAATCAAATTTCGTTACTGCTCCGCACCCAGCAATACTTCATCCCCATGCCCATACCAATTTCACATATCCTCTCGAGTCAAGCAGCAGATTTTCCGGTTTCAGATCTCGGTACACGATCCCCCGCACGTGCAGAAATTCAAATGCCTTCAGCACACAGCCGACGATGAATTTTGTCGTTCCATCCTCGAAGCTGGACCTATCCCGGAGAATCGTCCAAACCTCCCCACCCAGGCAAGCCTCCAGCAGCATATATACGAACTTATCATCCCGATAGGTCCGGTACAATCGACAGATGAACGGACTGTGGCAAGCAAGCATAATCTTCCTCTCGCTAAATACGTGCTCCTGCTGTTTGGTGTCAACGATATGCTTCTTTTTCATGCACTTCAGAGCAAACACCTGCACCACTCCATTTCGCTCCAGTTTGACTAGTTCCACTCGTCCGAATCCACCCACTCCCAGCGTTCCAACTACATTCAGATCGGACATCTCCACGTCCATCAGTTCTGCAAAAAAAGACAAAACTCGTCATAAATCCCTTCCAATTAATCTCATCCGAAGCTCAAACCAACCGGGTTTAACTGCATCCAACGACGACGGAAGGTTGTTATTTTCCAAATTGCGGAACGCCAGCACCCGCTGCTCGTCGCCATAGTCCTTCTCGTGCAGTTCGCACAAATCCCCAATGTGTTTGGTGAAGGACTCTCGGTCCAACGTGAGGCACTCCACTCCCGGTGACATTGCTATGATGTTGGCCGTCCGTTTGTCCTCCTTGATGAGGGCCTTCTCGCCAAAGTACTCCCCACGGCCGAGGATTCGTATCTCCTCCTCGATGGAGCATCCTTGTGGAAAAAAAAGAAAAGAAAAGAAGTGAATCGTGGTTAATTAGGCGACACTTGTAATGAAGGAAAAGTTGACACCACATACCTGGTAAACGTTGGGTCACCTTCACCGTGCCTTGGCTGATGAGGAAGAATGAATCACCGGCTGCTCCCTGGCGGATAATATACGCTCCCGCTGGGTAGAATTCCTGAGATGATAATGTTGAATTAGGGTGATCGATATAAATGCATAACTTTAGAACGGAAGAATAAAAACTGTGTAGCAGAGCCCATCGGTCGGTTATAAAATAACCAAAAAATATAAACAAACCAAGGTGATTATTTAATTAGCTTCCGTAACTATCGTGGTTGGAAGAAAATCATGTTCTAGAAAACACTCCTCCAAACACCTCCACACTCAAACGAGCAGAATAAACACGTCACTGATTGGCGCTGAACAGCATGACACCACTCTCTCACTCTAGCACTAGTGGCCACTACTCACCACTTCCAGCACGTCGGCAATCTTGGTAAGTACGTCATTACTCAGATTCTTCAGCAACGGCACCGACCGAAGAAAGTTGACATTCTCCTCTATCCGTTGCATCCCGGTTCGCATCATTATCTGCTGGAAGACCCGTCGGTCCAACACCCACACCCGCGAGTCGCTTAGCACTGTGAGATAGGAAAAAGAGAGACACCGTCATAAATCATTCACTCACAATTCTCAATTCAATCACCTTACCTCGAATCGAAGCCGTGCGGGTGCAATTGTACAGGATGGCCAGTTCGCCGAACGCCTTCCCGGGGCCCATCAATCCGAGGAACTTGTCGTCCTTGAGCACCTCGAACTCTCCGGCAGCCGAAACGTACAGATGCGATCCGGCCTGTCCCTCGTGGATCACGTACTCCCCGGCACGGAACTCGCGACTGTACATCGAGTCGACGATTTCGCGAATCTGCAGCGAGTCGATGTTCTTGAAGAAGTCATTCTCCAGAATGGCATCCTTAATGAGCTGCTTCGCACTGTTTCGTGGTGGGGTAGAATGGTAATCATCGGGTGCATGGTTTCTAACAAAGACTGACTGAGCTTACCTGTAGTCTTTTTCGTATTTCGGAATCTTGATGTCCGAATGGCTGCCCATCAATTCGCAACTCTCACCGGAAACACCCTGTTTCTTCATGGCCATCAGCGTGACCCCTTTGTTAGACCGGAAAGAACCATCGTTGGTTCCGATTCCGGCCGTATTGCTCGAAGGGGACAGTTTGAAGCCCTTGCCTGTTATGCCGTACAATTCGGACATGAGAAGCTGCTGTCCGGCCATTACGTAGTTCGTCTGAATACTGGACAGCAAATCGCCCTCGACCGTTTGCTGTTGTACCTTGGGACTGGACATGGGTGCCATTGTACCCGGACCACCTCCTCCTCCTCCTCCTCCGCCTCCTCCACCTCCTCCAGCATACTGTGACCGGTCTAAACTGCTCGTTGCCGTCTGCTGGAGTACGCTCTGTCACCGGCAAGAAGGAAGAGAACGAGAAACAAAAGAATTATGAACAAACTTGTCGTAAACCTCAATTGCGTCTGAGTTGAAATTAGTGATTCTCATCACGCAACTACTATTGCAGTTAGCGCCGTTGATGGTCCTTGATGAGCCGAGCACACCCCACGCTAGCGTCCAGCTGCCGTGCATCATTATGAATGCAAACACGAATCGATCACCTTTAAGTTCCATCGATTGATTGGTGTGCCCCCAAACTCAAAAACTCACAACCCACCTCCCCTCGCCTTCCGGCAGGCCTTACCTTCAGCTTATCGATCTCCCGTTTGAGTTTACTGATTTCCTCATCGCGAGCTTTGAGCTGTTGTCGTAGGTAGTGGATTTCGTCTTCGAGCGTTTTGCTCTTGGTGCCACTGCCGAGAGTCGGTGTGCTTCCGTACGATTGGAAACTATCACAGTTGTTTTCCGGTGGGATGGACTTGCGCCGATCGTTGCCCAGCAGGTTCGTGCGTTTGCCGAACAGCATTTTGGAGTTTTTGCGAATCTGCGAATGGAAAAAAGGGGGAGGATCAATAAGGAAAGCAGTCAACTGGCTCAGAACCAGGTGCGATGATGCCGGTTGGGTTGAGGAATCTCAGGTGTGAATTAAATAATGCTGAGTGCAATGCTAACGTAATTTAAAATGGAGTCCGGCCATTTGGTCGTTTAGTTGAATACTTTTCTCTCTTTATTTACTCTGATACTAACGAGCCAAGGGATGGCACAGCGAATGAGCTATATTGCCAACTATTATAGTTTTGAGTCGTTTCAACTTTTCCTGCTAGCTTTCTGTCTAGCCGAATACTTGAAACGAATTCTCCAAATTTACATTTAATTTATTTGGAAGGCTCAATCGCGTAAGTTTAACGGGGCCAATACAACAATTCTTCAATTTTCGAACAAAACTCGGTTTGAAGAAATTTTACCGTTACGTTTTTACTGCAATTTTGAAGAATTTCATTATCCAAGATTAAGAGGAATATTTAATATATTTGATTATATAATTCTTAAATTTTGTCAGATTCTAGAGCTTGTAATACAATCAAAGATATTCTATAACTCGATATTTTCTATAACTCGATGGATTCTGCAGCCCCATCATTTTCATTTTCGTACTTTCCATAAATCGATGCCTCCTTTGGTCGATGAATGAATGTAGTGTTATTTTGATTCTTTAACTGTATGTCATGGTATGGTATGGTATGTCATAGATAGAGCTTCTGATTTATGTGATGTTGATGTTAAAATCAATGGAACTTTAAATATACGATAACTGGTGGTCATATTGAGTATGAAGGACCCATCGACCACATCAGAACATGTTCCTGGTGTTTCGGGGAAATGGCCCGTACCTTTAATTTATACCAGGACCTATTGAACCACTTATGTATTGGTAACTGAACCACTTCAGAAAAGGTAGGATTCCGGTTGGAAAATTTAAGCTAAAAAAAGTGTCGGTATCCTTCGGGTAACTTTCTACAATTTAAGGAAAGCTAGATGACCTAAACAAGATTGTATTCTTGCCAAATGCCAAAGAATTTAACAAAAATCTGGGCACTTCAGGAGAGCTTTGACAACTTTAAAAAGGATTGAATAACATAACAGAAATGTTTAGACTCAATTAGAAAAATGTTGATGACTTATTCGAAAATTTGAACTCACTTGACAAAAGAAAAACTTGATATTTGTTCCGGCCTTATTGAACATCAATGTTTTGACGTAGGACATACGTGATTTATATATGGGGGTACCGTTTGTGAAAACCGAAAATGGAACATGTAACAAAATTATGAAAGATTTTGAACATTAATAACTCAGCTGTCCCTGAACCTACTTCAATAATTTTATCACCATTCGATAAGAAATATTTATACGCATCAATAACAATGCTTCTGACTGATGATTTTTAACAAGAAACTATTGAAAAAGTCGTAATGTCAAGCATTGTCCAATGTACAATAAACTGAAGAAGTCAGCACATTGTAGACGAAATACGCGTATCTGTCAAGGATAAGCAAATAAAGTAGTGGCATTAAATGGAAATTTCTGATCCTACTCTCTCTTTTTAAAAAGGTGATAATTTTATCACTGTTTTCATGGAATAAACGTTTTTTTTTCCCAAACCCAGTCGTCATAATCGAATACCACTTGGTTGCACATCATTCTGGTTTAACCTGAAAAGATATAAAAGAGCGCTACTGTCTAGCCTCAACTCATGCGAGATGGAACATCAGCTGCCGGCTACTACCAAGCTTCCAGCTGAAAACTATCGAAGCCATCGGAGTTTAGGTGAGCACATCGTTTGGTCCAATCACCATCATCGCGGTCTACTGCCCCAAGCAAACTAACATTAGGGACGGCTCGGCCGCAGACCCCCGAAGAGACATCATCAAGCTACTAAGACGGCGACAAAATGTCATCATCGTTGGCGACCTGAACGCGGCGAAACCAGAATGGCACAATCTTGTACAACGATCTGCAGGAAGCCAACTACAACATCCTGTGTCCGGACACTCCCACCCGGTTGAGTCGATCCGAAGCTCATGCCACCATCGACATCTTCATCAGCAACATTGGCGATAATATCTCTCAACCTATCGTCTATCAGGAACTGAGCTCGGACCACACTCCGGTGGTGGCCGAAGTAGGTTCCTCGACCAATAGGTTTCAAGTTTCCCAGCGAAATTACCATCGTGTCAACTGGCAGCAGTACCAGCGCTGTGTGGACACAGCAATCAACTACGACGTCCTACTGGAGTCGTTCGAAGAAGTCGATCGGTGTCTGCAAACCATTGAAGAGACGATATCCCATGCCAAGGAACAACACGTACCAGCATTCAGACAGGCGAGTCATACTCTGAACCTTGACAGCCCAACCAAAGATCTTATCAGGCTCCGTTACACCAGTCGTAGGCAGTTCCAGCATTCTGGGCGGCCCCATTAGAAGACCAATGTCAATAGACTAACCAAAATTATCCAGGCCAGGATGGTGGAACTCAGAAATAACGATTTTGCCAACAGGATTCGCTCTCTCCCAGATTGTGCAAAACGATTTTGGAAGATGACCAAAATTTTGAAAAAATAAGTCGAGACCGATCCCTCTGCTTTCTTCTGTTGACCAGAACTTGGACCCATCCCTACTCATAACCTCTGTTGAAAAGATCAATGCTCTTGGCCAACATTTTGTGATTTCACATAATCTTGGCCAAACCATGGTGAGCCCCCATGGGCCTGGTGTACTGCAGTCAATGTCTAGAGTCGGTGACACCCCCGTAGTAGTGCATGATGATAGTAGAATATCGGCTGATGAGGTGATAGCAGCTGTTAGAAGCACTAAAAACATCAATGCCGCGGGTATGGATGGTGTAGTCAACCTCGAGTTGAAAAACTTGAATATTGACTTATTCAACCATCTTACCGTTATCTTCAACAAAGGTTTGGAGTTTGGCTACTTCCCTGAATACTGGCCCGTTCAGCCTCTTGTCACAGGAGTGGAACTTCAAATCAGAAAGTGGCTCCACTGGTCATTTGCGAACACTAGCGCACCTAGCGGTAGAAGGCATCTTCGGCCTGTAGTTAAGATAGGCAGCATGCTATGATAGTGTGAGTGCACATAGAAAGCCTATGTGGAACGCTACCACATCACATCGCTCGTTGAGCAGAAAAACGAGCACTTTTTGATTCACCGATTTGTTTGCACTTCCCCTTCTGTTCTGTGCTCTTGTCCTCCATCTCGAAGCTATTCGAAAAGTTGATACTCAGCCGTTTGCTGGTGTTTTCAAATGATAATAACATCTTTCTCAAAGAGCAATTCGGGTTTAGGAAAGGCCACTCTACCATCCACCAACTCGCACGGGTTACTAACATCATCAAGCGGAACAAGTCCGTTTCCAAGACATCTGCCATGGCATTGTTGGACGTCGAGATGGCGATCGACAATGTCTAGCATGATGGTCTAGTGTACAAGCTGTATCGATACAACTTTCCGATCTACCTTGTGAAGATCATCAAAAACTACTTGTCGGGCAGATCATTCCAGGTCGACTTGAACAATGTCCCCTCTGATACGTTCAACGTTGATGCAGGGGTCCCTCAGGGTAGCCTGCTTGGGCCTATCCTATTCAACATTTTCACGTCAGACGTTCCGCCCCTGCTGGGTGGTGGTATCCTGTCAATGTTCGCAGATGACACCTTCATCATCTATAAGGGTCGAGTGATCCGTGCTCTGGCGAGTAAACTACAATCAGCCCTGGATGTTCTGTCCGACTATTTCAAGAGCTGGAAGATTTGTATCAATGCAGCTAAAACACAAACCCTTCTGTTTCCACACTCGAAATCACCTCGGCTTGTTCCACCTGCTAACGTCAAGATCCATCTTGATAGCACCATTGAATGGTCGTTAGACTGATGCAAAATTTGAAATTTTCGCTCCACATTGCTTAAACGGTTCCAAATTGGTACCTGCTGAGCCTCCCAAAATTTGAACTACTCTAGTTAGAAACTGACTTGGCACAAACCATTTCAAGTTTATCTGGGAATTACTATGGGAAAACTTATGTTTTTGTTCAGATCTACCGTGCCGATTCAAATTTCAGACACTTAAACTCGAATTTCGGACACTTTTAAAAGTTGATTATCTCGGTCGAATATGATCCACATGTCTTGTAAATTTTAAATTTTTTTGACCAGTGCCCTCCACGATCATCTAACATTATTACTTTGTTTCTAACTGGATGTAATATTTAATTAAAAATGAAAGTGTCCGAAATTTGAATCGTCCGAAATTTGAATCGGAACGGTATCTAACAATTCACCACACCACTATGCTTTTGAAAGTGATAGCAGTGGTTGTAGAACATTTTCTCAGCTACAACTGTGTTGAAAGCCACTTTTCAATCAAATGCAAGGAACAAAAGTTATTATTGATTCAAGTCACTGATGTCTTATGATTATGCTCATTCAACTGTTCAGCAGGCAGCATTGGTGTTTCTGGTGCGAAGAATAGAACACAAATAGGGTAAATTATGCCTTCGGCACCCATTGACTGTGTTCGGCAACCGAAATTGAAACGTTTATTTCACTGTATTTGCCCATCAAAACTCTTCGCTGAATGTATTAAGCCGATTCCTTACCTTTTCAGCTTCAATCTGATTACATTTTTACGACTGTGAATTCCTGTTATACCATATTTTTCTTTAAATGAAATATACATACTACAAAATACGGCTGATTTCGAGTTGCCGATAATAGAACAGCTGGTTAACACGCAGTTCAAATGGAAAGAGTGCCGAAGAAAAAGAGACTGCCGACAATAGTCACTCTCACCTGAGAAGTTTGGAGCGTTGTAAAAACATGTTCAACCCGTTTTGATCAATTCTGTCGGTTGGAATTGGTAGAACAGTAAGCAGCAGATAAATGTCAACAAACAAACCTGTCATGTATGTGTGTGACGCTGAAAAATTGCTAAAAGAAGTTCGGACGCTGCTTAGATTGACGAGAATACGTAAATTCCCCTATCATGGCTACTATTTCACACTGCAAAATGCAGTGTTGCCCACATAACAGCTGCTTTATCGTGCCATAAGATTATAAATCTCTTAAACAATTAATATCATTTTAATTTGACATTTGGCTAAAAAACGATGTAACGCAAAGTTGTAGCTTAGAAAATTTCCCGTAGGAATAGTTTTCGAAAAAGCAATATGGAAAATGGGTAGAAGACAATGCACAAAAAGTTTGGTTTTCTTATAGTAATTTCCATAGTTGTGACCTTCTGAAAGCAACATTGACAAATTGTATGTGTCATATACAAACTTTACCACCTTTTCTTTTATCTTACAAATAAAAATTATCATTATAGTATCCCATTGTTTCATAATACCGAAAAATAGCATTTTAGCTGTAATGAGCAATTGCAAGCCTGTTTTTGTCTATATGGAAATCTTTTAAATATTTCCTGCTGTCTAGGAAGGATGTCTGAAAGAATATCCTGTAACTTATGCAACGTTTCCTGGAAATCTACAAAACTCTCTTCAGTAAATTTCCTCAACTTCTACGAAGTTCCCTGAATTTATTCCAAATTCGATATTTTGTCAATCTTTCTTAATTTTACGAAGATCTCTGAACATCTTTGAACTACTGGAAAGGCACCTATCATCTACAAATATTAGTAAAGTTCTCTGATTATTTTTTCAGGACTTCAGGTTGATCAAGTGCTGAGGATCTCCAACTGTTTAAAAGTTCAATGTTCTTTCAATATTGTAGGTTGTTCAGGAAGTACCAAAATCCGGGCGAAAACTGATCACCGGGTGAAATTGATCATAATGCGTTGTACTTTTAATTGCCACGTCGGTCAGTGATAGATATCAAGAGAAATCTTAAAAGTATATCATCAAGAGATTCCAATGATTCCTAGCAAAAAAATGATTGCATCAATTTAAATTTTATAGAGCTGACGTTAAGTAGTATACATTATCAACATCAAACAAACGATCATAGGACTGGAACGATTGATGTCATTACCATTCAAGTATCATGTTTTAATGAATTGCGGTAAAACGTTTCAAATATCACGAAATCTAGGGCTTTTCGTAAAATGACCACAGTTTTGAATGGAATTGCCTACATTTAGGCGCAACTGTGCATTTAAGACATCTTTTTTGGCCTGAAAGCATTTTTCACACATGGGTTTTAGAATCTGAATCGGACTCAAGGAACCAACATTTAATAAGAACAATTACTAGAAATCCCAAGTAACATTGCAAGTTTTATTAAAAAACCGGCCACTACAAGTCTAAATCACGGTCTTCCGAACCCTTATAAAACCATAATTGTTACTTTGGATGCACTGGGAAGCCATTTGAGGGGTTGATCAATTTCAACCCATATCGATATTTTCAAATTTAATATTTCAAAAATTTCCTAAAAATTAAAAATAATATTATAAGAAATCATGCAGGACGATGGAGCCCTCATAGCTACTGATTTAAATACCATTAGTTTTTCAACTTATTTTATTGTAGAAATTTATTTATTTACTTTAAATAGTGATCAATTTATCCCCGGATAACGGTATTCAAAAGTTTTACAGCTAATGGAATCTGATGGAATCTTGAAGGATGAATCTAGATTTTATGGACATGTTTGTACATTCTCTATAGGGAAGACCCGTGCCTTGGTGATTTAGCTATATTGTTAAGAATTAGCACTCCAGCAGCTGAATTCTGGGCATACATTTTAACGAAGAGATAGAAATTTCTACATATACACTCCCGATCATAAGTTTAAGGACACCCCCAAAAAAACATGACAAATTTGTTATGTTCATATCTCTGTCATGTTACGTCCAATTTTCGTTCTCTTTAGATCATTTGAAAGGTATTGAATGGAACTTTTCTCGTAGGTAAATTGTTCAATATAATTTTCAAATTTTGTGTGCTAAAAGCTCACCCAAAGTTACAATATTTTTCAAAATTTACTCTGAAGAATCGTGATTGATTTTCTCAGAATTGGGTTGCCCAAATTTTGAAATAAAAGTAGTAGTAGAACACTTATGCTATACCATTCATACCATTCAAATAACCTTTGGAGATCATTGAACAACACATATTTGCATGGTTTTTTGGGGGTGTCCATAAACTTATGATCGGTAGTGTATCTAATATGTATAAATTTCTCTCTTTTCGATGAAATTTATGGCCGGAATTCAGCTGCAGGATAGTTTGAATGCTTAGCACAAAAAAAAATCCATGTGGTAAAATAAATCAAGAACACTGAAAAAGTGCGTGTAAATAATTAATTGGTTCCAAATGGGTGTAACCAAAACAAAATTCATCTATAATAAAAAAAAAATCCAACACTTGAAAACAATAAATAAAATAATTATCTAGTTACAAACAGGGACACAATCATTCAAGTTTCAAGTTTATTCCTTTTGATTAGAATTAAAGATAAATCTTTATTGACTCCGTAAGTCCGAAGCATCGAATAAAAAAATGTTCTGAATAAATGCTTTATTACTTTCTTTTCTCTTCAAATATCAGAATTATGACAAATTATAACCAGACTTTCAATATTTTTCGAAATTTTTGAAGCTTAAACTTGATCATTTTTAAGTCCAAAATGTATGAAATTTATTCTGTGTGTACTTTACTTCAAACTCCTAGAATTTAATTATGGTTCCTTTACCTGAGATTTAACTGATGATGAAATTTTCAGTATTTTAAAAAATACTAGATTCAAAATTTATGGAATTACCTTACTCTGAGCATTTTATTAAGTTTAAGATGCTTAAATTTGGGATCCGGATGCTATGTTATTTCATTACAAAAAGCATGAACAAAGGATCATTGCTTGTTCAAATTCAGTAAGCTCTAGAGGCTCCCCCAATCAAGGTCCCAATCATTGCTATGAAATAAATATAATCAAGTTTATTGTTTCACCATTAAAATAAAAGCAACCCTCAATGTCATATTATTGGTCACAGAAAAATGTACCCAAAAACAAGCATCTTCGCGAGTTTTTATTTAACCGTAGTTTGGCAAAATTAAAAAGAAAATCAACACGCCCCCTCCAGGTAAATTCTCTAGTTACGCCAATGAGCACCCAACGTAAAATTGGTTTGAAATATGAAGTTATAATTTTTCACTACTTTTCGGAAATCACCTATTCGACCAAAAGCTATAAAGTTGAGTAATTAAGAAATGTGAATGATTGAAAAATACCCGTTGAAACAATTTTGAGCATCTCGAACTTCAAATGTGTTTCAGATTCTAAATCTTTGAAAACCTATCAAAATTGAAATCTCAAAAAACTAGAATTTGAAAAATTCTCAAGGTTCAATTGTTAAAAACAATTAATTAGAGTCCTGCCAACAAACAACAGCTTGTAGGGGAAATTAGGGTAAATTACCCATAACAGGTAAAATGCAACCTCCTTATATCTCAGTTGCTAGTTAATATGGTGATTGCTGCTATACGTTGAACTTTAAACGTAATATTGAATGGAAACAACAAAACTTTTATGATAAGAGCTTTTAAGAAAAACCATGCAAAAATAGTTATTTCTTGAAACAGTTGGTATCTATGTATATTTTAAAAGATAAAGATGTAATTAATACAAGTTGTTATAAACATTCTTCTTCTTTCGGGTCAATAGGTCGAATGGCATGTTTATTCAAAAAATAGGCTTTTCAATTTTACCAATTTAAACAATCAATCCAACAAATAGATGGTATTGCACTTAAATATCAATTTACTTTGTGGAATAATTAGGAAATTTTACCCCGTCTCCTCTACAGGCAAACATTATCTTGTGCAGCTAGTTTTTGCTTGCATATTCTTGCTATTCTAAAACTAATATTGATTGTTGGGTCCATCCTAGCTTCAGCATTCATAAAACATCAACAGCACTTCGATCTAAACATTTCGAAATCACCTCCTCACCGTCAATTCATTTACCAAAGCTCTAGCTATTGGTACAGTGATTGGCTCATACATAATGGGATCGATCCGGTTTGTCATACCGGCCTGAATGACTTGCTAACGACACATAACGAAAGGGAATTTGGTATTCCACATTTCAACATCAACAGAAACATTTAAACGTTCAATGTTTATCTGTGCCCGCAACGCAATCAACAACGACGCAGTTGTACTGCTAATTGTTGACGTGATCTCGAGGGAATTCTGATCCCCACCGCCGAAACGAACCTAATTTGTCTCAATTCGAATCAATCTATCGATATCACGCGTATGCTCACGAGTCGCTTTAAACGGTTAAAGATTCATTCGAAAGAGCCCCACACCATCATCATCATCATCATCATCGATTAGTCGAACGCTGACTGCCACTGACTGTATTGAACAAGTCAATTAGCGCCGTGGCGATACATTTACATGGCTATGGAAATTTCGCTCGCGGTCACTCAAAACTTACCCTCTCCTTGACCGGTCCATCCACGTTCGGCACGATCTTGGAGGTCTTTCGCATAAGCACCGACGATCCATTGCCCATTGGTCCGAGAATGCCCGACTGGATGAAGAATTCCTGCGCCGAGCGATCAACTACCGCCTGCGGTGGCGATGTGGTCACAGATCTCGGTGCTGGGGAGCCAAGTACCCGAGTCAACTGCTGCAGCAAAGATGGGGGACTTTTGGGACTGCTCCCGGAGCTATTGCTAGGATTACTAGAATTGTCACTATCACAAGCACTGTCACTACAGCATTGGTTATTCTTATTGCAATTGTTTTCCTGCAACTGAACGTCACATTCACTGACGATGTCTTCAGGCTTTGTTAGAGGTTTATCGACTTCCTGGTCGTTGTTTGTACTGCCACTGATGCCGGCATATTTGAGCGAAAGTTGCCGGATATTGCTATTGCTAAACGATTCCCGAGGTGGTTCTGTGTTTGCACTAAACGATATGTACGACAAGTCCTGAGAACTGGCTAGCTCTTCACTACTTCGGCGGGTTCCGAGCTCTTCCTCTTCGGTGACTTCGTCTACACTGGAAGAGGCGGAATGATTGTGCGCTAGGGATGTGCCGATCGAGTCTACGCTACTTCTGGAAGGGGACAATCCCGGGTAACTCTTGGAGCTTTTCTTCAGAACCGCCCTCCTCGACGATGGAATGCTGATGGAGGGTGTCTGTCCCTCCTGACTGAGTCCGTTGGATCTCGGTGAAACCTTCTTGAGCACAAATTCCGGATGAAAAGCGGCACAGTCGGTGCTAAAGTTCGGCGTTGACAGCCGCTTGGAATGTGTCGAATGGAGGATTTCGAACTCCCCGGATTGGGCGGACGTTATCAGAGCTCGCGTCGGCGATTCGCTGATGTTATTCGCGTATTTGTTTTCATCGGTAAACACGGTAGTCGTGTCCGGATGAGAGAACGCATGCAAAACCTTAATCTTCCGAATGTCCTTCTCTGAGGTCGAAATGGGCCTAGTGCGATGATGCTGACTGTGCCGTGAGCTAGCGATGCCTTTGGCAGTTCCGTCCCCTGGCGCTGCCCCCGATACCGGCGATCCACTCGACGAGACTTCGTTACTACAGCTACACTTCACGTACAAACTGCCACAAGTGTTCGATTTGCGGAACCACGCGCGTAATCCTCCCGAGCTGTTTGACGACTGTGATGGCTGCGAGTGAACTGATTTTTCGTTTTGGGACGTCTCGTCTCGCACCTCGAGAGGGGTGCCCATCGTCATCGTCACCGCCGTTGCCATCGGCGCTAGTGGATGTATTAGTGCGGCAGCTGCTGCGACGGCGGCGGCCACCGTCGTCTTCGTCTTTGGTCCACCATTATCACTTATTTGTATATTTTCATTCTTAATCGTTGCCATTCTGATGCGTGTTGTGTTGTGTTACGTTGTATATCGTGCCCTTTTTCTACAGTACTACAGAACTACTTTGGTGTGAATTGAGTAGTGATTGAGCTTTCGGTGCTGGGTGACCCGTTTTCTTTTCTTTTGAGGGTGGTGATTTTACGTCCTTGTTGCCTTCTTGGTTCCCCAAAAGGTGATGACTTTGTTTTGGTCTAGATTTGCCCGATAATAACCATCACCTACGGCTGATGAGGGGGTGGTGGTGCTGCTGGTGGCGCGGTGCAGGTCAATGTGGAGCACACTCAGTGGCGGGTGGTTTCCTGAAAGTAGAGAACACACAGCGAGGGTTGTGGTTAGCGATGGTGGACAAAGAGGAATCTTGATTTGATTGTAGAATGGATCATGTCGGAATGTTAAGGAGCGTCTATGAGTGCGGACTAGGGTTGCTTAAAATGTTGTAATATGTTGTGATGGAGTTTTTTTTTTTTTTTTTTTTTTATTTCAACTGCTTATTTCTCATTACATGTTTGTGGGTAAGGAAACGTACATAAATGAGGTAACTTTATGGGAGGGGGTTTTCAGATGTTGTGACTGACCATGTACAAAGTATAGCAAATTACGCTACGAGAGATAGTCTAAAATAGTTCAAACATATACTACGCATACTTTAACTTCAATCATGTGGACTTTTACACTAAAGGATGTTCCAAATTTTGCATTACTGGTTAAGTATCTCCATCGTGATACAATAATTGATATTTTGCGATTTTTTAACGGACATTGAAATTTGTTTACATATCTTATATTCTAATAAATAATATGGTACGTGTATGTCACATCTTCGCGCATTAACCACCGAATTGAAAATTGAATTCTTCCAACTTTTTTCTTTCGTTTGTTGATAATTTAGGTAATGTCCTGCGGGATAATGCAGCACAAAAAGAGACATATTTAAGCTATAAATAATTAAAGGGTTCGATAACAGATTACGCATGGCTATTCAGGCTTTTTTTAAAGGCTTTATTAAAGAGATTTTTAGCCTTAGGCTAGTTCATCTCTAAGGCTATTCAGGCTTGCAACTGCTCATTACAGCTAAAATCCTATTTTTCGTTATTATGAAACAATGGGATACTATAATGATAATTTTTATTTGTAAGATGCAAGAAGAGGTGGTAAAGATTGTATATGACATATAAAATTTGTCAATTTTGCTTTCAGAAGGTCACAACTAGCGATTAGCTGTAACGATGAGCAACGCGATGAGCGAGCAATCAGTGATCATAAAATCGCTAGTTGTGACCTTCTGAAAGCAAAATTGACAAATTTTATATGTCATATACAATCTTTACCACCTCTTCTTGCATCTTACAAACAAAAATTATCATTACAGTATCCCATTGTTTCATAATAACGAAAAATAGGATTTTAGCTGTAATTAGTAATTGCAAGCCTGTGGCTGTTAGAGGGTCCTGTTTCCCGGGTTTGGAAAAATCCAGGGATTGAGGATTTTATTTTTACAAACCACGGGCAGTCTTGGGATCCCGGGAAAAATTTCAAGATGCTTAAAATTGACCATACTTCCAAAAATTAATACATATATATTCAATATTGAAGCTTGAGAAAAAGTATTAAGTATTATTGGACATATTTCTCTTAGAAGCCAGTTTTCAGAGCGATATTAAGAAGCAGCATTGATTTTTGCTTTAATCGTCATGTCATTTAAGAGCAAATTTTCGGGGAATTCGATAACATAAACTCTCTTACTATCCGATAACGCAGGCTTCATACCAGATAACACGATTTTCAAGCCGTGTGTCAAGCCTCCAATCAACTCATATAGAGCTTTTTTTTAATAAACTGCATCTACCGTTTATATTTAACTAGCCCCAGTAGATTATGGGTGGATAACTAGTCCTCGTAAATTGATGTGGTTCTTGTTCAGTTTAATAGCTTTTTATCGTTTTTGTTTGTCGGAAGTCAATGAGTTGACAGATTTTTTTTTTGTGAACTAGAACCAGCCAAATCTTCCATTGTTCCAGTCAATCCATCCATTGTTAAATATCAGGTAACATAGCAGAACTCAGGGTGGCCAACGAACCACAAAATTCGGGAAACCTAAAAAAAAAATCAATAAAACTCAATATACGGTAAAACTGTTATGCCATATATTCAGATTATAAATTCTCAATTTTGGGAGAATCCCGGGATTCGGGATTTTTGTCCTGGAATTTTCCAGGAAGGACTTTGTAATGGCTATATCAAGCTGATAAGTTTTGTATTTTTAACTCAATTTTCTTTTTAATTAATGGCTGACTTTGTTTATTCAATTCAATTCCGGACATTTAAAAAAAAAATCATGTCTTGAAAATGTATCGTTCTGAGAAGTTTTAAGCTTATTCATTGAAAATTATCCAGAAAGTACAGGTACAAATCTGGCCATGAGTTTGTATTGTCAAAAACGGGAAGGTACTGTAAATGAATTCCCCCAAATTACTACATAGGTCTTGCACCCCAAAATGGTGAGGACCATAGGGGAAAGAGCGTCCAACATAACTCTGCTCTTCACAAGCTCCTACCTCACGCTTCCACGTGTCGGATGATGACAGCCAGTATCTGCCCCGTAACGTGGGTAGATCACCTTTTCGTGGTACGTTACGGGATGTAAGATCTACCACCGATTCCTAGTCCTGACTACTTCAAACTAGGGGAACAGGATTTTTTAGTAATCCAAGGAACACATCTTAGTCCTTGTTACTTTTTATGCCTTGTTGGTAGTGACAAGACTCGGCTTTGTCTACCGAGGATGATCTTGAAACAAGGAAAAAAAAATGAGTTAGTTGTCTTCATCTATGTGATTACTAATCTTCTATTCGTTGTTCCCTAGTTTGAAGTGGTTAAGACTAGGGTTCTGATGCATGGTCATTATCGGTGTCATACCTTAATTTTGTTGCTAAGGAATTCAATTTTGACTGACAAAGGGGCGCGCCTTTGGAGGGTGTTTCAACACTCCGAAGGGTATAAATAGCGGGACCTTTCAATTAGAGTCGCATCCTTGCGATAAATGCGAGAGTGGCAACTGTAAAAAATCGAATACTTCATCATTTCACAATAGCGATGGAGTAATACGACATGCACTAAACTAAGGACACGGGATATACTACAATAGATCAATTTACTGGTCGCAGTAGTGTTAGGTCCCGAACAAAGGAAAAAAAATGCCCATATATGTGCCGATAACCCATATCGTGAAGATAGAAAGGCTGAGGAGGTGCAAATCGTCGAGCGTCTGTCCACCAGGAGGTGCGGCTCGAACAGCGTCTGTCTGGGATCGAGCGGCTGAAACAAGAAATGTTGAATCGTGAACCATATCAATATGGATGTCAAACTTCATGTTTTTGCTTGCCAATAACTATGGAAGGTCGATCAGATCCACAGCTTGCTCTGGTTATCTTGGAGCATGTTTTGGGTGCCCCGGGGGATGTGGTCAATTGGGGCCATGACCGAAGCCATATCAATATGGGTGTCAAAATTCATGGCTTTGCTTGTCCATGTCAATGGAAGTTCGATCAGATCCACGACTTGCTCTGGTTATCTTGGAGCAGGTTCTGGGTGCCCCTAGGGATGAGGTCAATTGGGGCCATGACCAGAACCATATCAATATGGGTGTCAAACTTCATGGTTTTGCTTGCCTATGACAATGGAAGTTCGATCAGGTCCACGAATTGCTCTGGTTATCTTGGAGCATGTTCTGGGCAGTGCTGATATTTGTCATTATCATTGACAAACTTTCGGCTGATATTGACAAAATTGTTCATCACATAGTCACTGACAGACTTGATCTTCCAAAAAACCTCTGTCAAAATCTCATTCATTTTTTCGACAATGTCAGAGATTAGCCTGGTAACAAGAAGTATAATTTCGGGCATTCTGAGTCACATTATTGTTATCGAAACAATTCAGGACGTAGATGCTTCCGCACTTTAATGGCTCCATGGAAGTGTTTTGCTCAAGTCATTTTTTTTTACTCTTTATTTGTTCCAAATTCAAAATAAATTACATTTCATTTTAACCTAGGTGCTCCAGCTACTGCAGTAACGTACCAGCCTTAATTGTTATGATATATATCTAAGTGTTTTTACATTGTTCATGTCTTGGCAATTCAGTATTTTAAACAGGTTTTTTGATGATTACAACGATTTTTGCCTGAAGTTATTAATTATTTTGTTGGACATTTGTTCTAAAGTCTCAACATTCGAAATTCTATGTACTTCGGTAGTACTGTACCAGGGAGGCAACTTCAAAATCATTTTCAGAACTTTGTTCTGAATCCTTTGAAGTGCTTTTTTCCTGGTAGTGCAACAACAAGACCATATTGGCACAGCGTAAAGCATGGCCGGTCTAAAAACTTGTTTAAATATTAGAAGTTTATTCGTCAGGCAAAGTTTGGATTTCCTGTTTATAAGAGGATACAAACATTTTATATATTTGTTACATTTGGCTTGAATGCCCTCAATGTGATCTTTAAAAGTTAATTTTTGGTCAAGTATGTTGTATGTATGTATGACAAGATATTTCACTTGCTTTAACCAGGAAATTGGAACTCCGTTCATAGTGACTATGTGACTACTACTAGGTTTCAAAAAGGAAGCTCTAGGCTTATGTGGAAATATTATAAGTTGAGTTTTGGAAGCGTTGGGAGAAATCTTCCATTTTTGTAAATAAGAAGAGAAAATATCTAAACTTTTCTGCAGTCTGCTGCAAATAACACGAAGACTTCTTCCTTTAGCGGAAATGCCTGTGTCATCAGCGAACAAAGATTTGTAGCAACCCTGAGGCAAATCAGTGAGGTCCGAAGTGAATATGTTATACAATATAGGCCCAAGAATGCTACCCTGAGGAACTCCTGCTCTAACAGGTAGTCGATTAGATTTGAAATTTTGATAATTTACCTGCAGAGTTCTTTCAGTTAAATAATTTTGAACTAATTTCATAATTTTAATTTAGCAATCAAACCTTCATGCCAAACACTGTCGAATGCTTTTTCTAT